TCATCCGTACGCAAGGAAGTGAGCACAAGATGCCGAATACCCTTAGCAGGATGCAGCGCACCATTCATGCGACCCGCCGGATATCTCACGGCGCGTCGCGCTTGGTGATGTGAGAGCCTGGTCCGGTGAGAACCCGGCGTGCTCCGTCCCGGCTTTGTAGGGATGCGAGGTCAATGGTCTAACGACTACGGCATGCACGACTATGAGTACACCACCCCCCCCGCTCCCCCCCTCGGTGTTAGCCATCGGGATTGGGTTTTCGTCGCTTGGCATCGACGTTGACAAACAAGCCGATTCACTTCGTGAACTTGGGCAACCAGGATACCGGTTGTTTTTTATACCTCCGGGTTTTTTTTGGCGGTAACCATAATGGTGGTCGAGTAGATCATGTTGTGCGGGGTGGAGAACCCTCACTCCGCGCAAGGGGGATGATCGCACCACGTTGTGTTAAAATGGTCAAGCACCCTCGAGGCAGTTACACAGTGCTTACAACTGTCTCTGGAAGTGACAGCACCAGAAAATGAATAATTCATACGCAGCTCTCATCCGTACGCAAGGAAGTAAGCACAAGATGGCCGAANTGGTCCGGTGAGAACCCGGCGTGCTCCGTCCCGGCTTTGTAGGGATGCGAGGTCAATGGTCTAACGACTACGGCATGCACGACTATCAGTCTACCTACAGCCGAAATATATTTGGTCAACACCACCAAGTCTCTGGAGCCCAAGCTCTACTTTCGAAACCGTTTAATGCAGCAGTGCATCACATGGCGGAGACAGACTTGCAGAAGGTAGCAGGCGCGATAACGTCAAAGGAGAGGGCATTCATCCGCTTGGAGGAAGCAAAAGGCAAGGGAGTTTTGTCGTGGTTGACAATGCAAGATTTGTCAGCAGATGAAACAATTCTGCCTGATCTATATCGGGAGTCAATCGGTCGTGTACTGGGGAGTCATGATCGAGCAGACTGCATTGTTACAGCTTGAGCCGAGCTCACTCCCTCGTCTGCACCAAGACCGGCGCCTCAACCTTTCTCCATACCGGGATGGTTTGACTAGTCTTCAAGACACTGCGCGAGTGCCATTTTTCCCATGCCGTTGAGGATTCTTCCCCTTTTACCACAGGCACTGGTAGGGGAAAGGGGCTATGCAAGATGGATTTGGTAATTCCCACATGTTTACGCGTAGGAGAGAAGGAAGAGGAAGTCCGCACCAAAGTCCATTCTTATAGACGGAACAATCGTCAACCCATCCGCTGGTCGAAGCATCGACAAGTCGATCCAAAAGCCAGGATCCGCCCTCGAAGATCAAGCTGCAAGTAAGGCAAATCACTTGGGGGGAACTTTCAACCCGTCTTGATCTACCCTCCTTACTGCTGCTTCTTTGACGAATGGTGATCCTGGCAAAGGCACCAATCGACTCATCGTTGCTATCGCCAACCACTTGGCGCACGAAGCTTTTTATCGGAGAAATTTTCACGACGAAAGAGCCTTGGTTCGGCTGAAGCCGTTTTTTTAAATATTAGGAGTCGGAGACGGTTTACCTTCGAGCTAGCTCGGTTCCTGTCGACTCGCGATGTGTTCAACGTCATGGGCTACATACTGATCGACCAACTTCCACCAGGGCCAATCGGTTGGGACCTCTGCGACAACAATAGTAATAAGGGTAATAATTTTAGGAGTGACGGAGACTAAGGAAAGGGAAAGGGAAGAAAGAAGGACGAAGACGATGACGGGGGATGAAAACATGGGGAGTGGAGGAGAGCAAAGGGTTTGAGCCAGATGACCTTCCCCACCCAAAAAAACGTAGGACCAGGGAAGAACTGCGCAGAGATTCTTTTCAAAATATGGATCAGAATGATCATGGCGAAAACAAGGAGGATAATGGTGAAATTGCTCCTGGACAAACTCGAGTACAAGGTAATTGCCTCGGTAGACGCATGCAGTTTCTTCTGTTACCACAGTTTCTGTCTTTGATCCGAAAGAAAGTTTAGCCCCTCACGGGGTCTCAGTTCATGGCAGATAGAAGTGTTTTATGCTTTCAACCCCACTAAGACTGACGTCCTTTCATTGGTCAGCCGATCAGCGCTGTCGATGCTAGTAAGAAGAATACACACACACACCTACAAACACGCTAACCAGGAGAGCTAACTACACACCACCCTGTAGGGTCCTGACGATTTACGATAAATCGGCCAGCCGTGTGGTACAATGTTCCATGCTTGTCGGTATATATATATATGGGCGTTATCTGTATTTTTCTCCATGTTTCTCGGTTGAAGGCCAGTAAACTTCCCGCATGTGTATATATGTACGCATGCACATATACGTGTAAGCCAACGTTGGACCCAAACTGACACTACGCTGACGTGCGTACTTGCTTGTTGATATGTTTTTTGACTGGCTAAATACGTGCATAATCTTACAGCCGAATAAAAATTCTCAACATTTCGGGGGAAGGATTTTTTCAAATCTGTACTTTTAGTCTTATCGCGGCTGGTTTTCAGAAAAATTGGTTTTATGTGCGTTGGTCGATGCCTGGTGCTGCGGAGATGACTGCCAAGACGTTGCTGGGGTTTTTGATTGTGTCTTCGGGCTTAACACCAAATATGTCAGCAGATATTGCGAGTAGGCTGCAAGCTTCTTGTCCTGACTTGCAGATCGTGGGGGGCATGAAAAACCCGGGGAAAGTAATCGTGGGGGGCACACAGCAAACCTACCCCGTCCGTATTGCTTTGCCCACCAGCTGCTTTCATGTGTGCACAGACCATCAGTCGCACCTGCAAAGCACCTGCTTGATGTGAATTCCAAAGCACGTCACGTTCATTCATGTTCGCGCGAAACAACACCTGACCATCCAGGGCCGCCGTCCACCCCGCCGTCGAAAACGACGTCGCAGGCCGGGCAAGCGCGCCGAGCGTACTTCTCGCCGCTTGTTGTACATCACGCTTGCTTTGACGGCATGGCGGCATCAGGTTCGCTGGAGACGTAAACCGCGGCAGCATGAACACGTACCGACGGCACAGAGACCCACCTCGACCGAAGGTCCCCCCATCAGTCACGCTCGTCGGCTCTGTGCCGGGCGGTGTTTTCGAACTGGTCCAGACACCGAGGCGTTGTTTTCGCTACGGTGGACACGCAAGCCTCCGGGTCGAAAATGTACGCGAGATTACGGTAAACAGAAAAGATATGCACGCCATCCCGAAGCCAAAACTCCAAACGCTTGAACGTTCTCACAATCGCACACGAGTCTCTCTCTCTCTCTCAATCAATCTCTCCTGCCAACATCCCAACCAGGCTGATAGGAACCCCAATGTACCATATATGCTAAACATGCAGAAATCCAAAGGTATTCTCCCACCATGAACCACTACTAGCCGTGTGCGCTGCGTCCAAAATCCAAGAATGGGTGGTTGACGCAATCTGGCATGGGAGGACGATGAGATCACACGATGAAAGTTGTGCACCGCTAATAAATTACTCATTTTTTGTCTCCCAGCAGAAATAATTCCGCGCGTACCGGGCAGGATGTGTAGAGCGACTGTGCTGAAATATCTGTCATTAGTGCGACAGAACCGACCTTTCTCTCAGATTGATATCGTGCAGATCCGAAACGCGTCTCGTTTGTTTAGCTCCCCTTTCGAAACGCCGATCGACGGATATGGTTGCTGCTTCAACTTCAATCGAACTAGGTGAGTCTGTACCTGAATAGCGAGCTGAGATAGGTCCACGTGCAGCCTGTACAATCACTCGCAAGGCAGTTTCTCACTGCTGAGTGGATGAAAAGCGATAGCGCAGTTCACCGACGGGCTTCGGCACGGTTGTTGTTGTTTGATGTTTTTCTTCACATTAAACTCGTATCAGTTGCTAATCCCAAAATCTAGCAAAGACTTGGTCCGTAGTCGCAAAAATGCTAAACCCATCAAAATATATAAAGAACACACACACTATTAAGCAAAGAAAGGGTCCACAAGCTCGAGGAGGTACACCTACAATCCCTGCGGAACGTTTACGTGCTCACCACTGAACTACACGCCCACACACTACAAATCGACTACAGCAGCAGCATCACCCCCCTTGTCCCTCATTTACCCATAATGAATGTTTTTCGACTACAGCGTACTGCTGTCTGAAGTGCTGTCTGTACAATAATAACACCATGGTGCATGGTACACAAGCTCGGGGCATGGAGGTGCTGTCTGAAGTGCTGTCAAAATAAGTCCGCGGACATACAATGAAGGAAAACGCCCAACCAAAGCCATCATTGCAATTTATTGACAATCACCCGAATCTATCCAGATCATCTATGTTAGGCACAGCAGTGTAAACATCGACACTGACTAGGAATCGTTCCACACAAAGGGGTCTTCCACGATGCAGGTACACAATTACCGTACCAAAACCAGTGACGTCATCACACACACCCAACACCTATATTCAGGAAAAAAACGAAAAAATAATTGGCAACGCAAGAGATGGTTGTCCGTGCGCCACGGTTCGATGCCGTCCGCATGCTCCGGTTCCGCTGCTCCGGTGCCGCTGTGGCCAGTCCTATTACGGTGGCACATAGTTAACAGGAGCAATTTAAAAGATATGCGTTTCGGAGTGTAACTTTCGCAATACGATGCGCAGCACAGCAGACGATAGCGCAAATTGACGACAGGGAAAAGGCGGTCACGATGAAAAAAAGACATTGGAAAAAAAATCAAATTGCTTGAGTTATGGCTTGTCGTGTACCTGAGTAGAGATTCGAAATCGGAAAAAATGCCCAGCAACATGCGGCCAACATTGGTATCCCCACTTCTCGGCCTGCAACTCAACATTTTTAAGCGCCTGTCGGCATACAGTAGCGCAAAACGCTTCCATGACGAAGGCGGTCAATACGCAAGAAGATAGAACATGAATGCAGTTGACGTGTGGCAAGCTGCATCCGGGGTAAGACTTGTCGACAATTGAATATTTTTGATTTTTTTTTTTCAACAACTGCAGCAGCTGGAAGCAGGGACGCAACCCCCCGCGCACAGCAATCACACATGTGTGCTGTTGGAACATGGTACACCCAGTGCATGGGTGTAGCAATTGATCACAAGGCTGAAAAAAATCTCATCATGGTTCAACCTCGTCGCTGCCATCACCCCATTCTGCGCTTTCCTGCTGGATCTGCTCCCCTACCCCTTCCTCGACATCACCCACGGGCGACACATCATCTGTATCGTACCCGTCCGGCTTTTCGAGGCTGCCTATCGTACCAGAAAGCACTCCATCACGGTCCTTGACCCACTTATTCATCTCTCCAATGGCGTGGTCAACCAGCTTCGAACAATTGGCTGCCTTCCACCCCCCCTCCTGGCCTGGCCATTCCTTGTCCCCGTACCAACCTTTACGAATCTGCACCCACACCTCCCGCATCTTTCGCTTCAACTCAAAGTTAAGGCTGACGTACTGCTTACCATGCTGCCAAAAAAGCTCGATCGGTTGAAAGGACGGCATGTAGGGCGGCGTCCAAATCAACGCCCACCCCTTTTTCCTCATGAACGTCACCACCCGTTCCTCGAGCCTTTCAGGGTGATTGAGGTGGATGTACTCCCGAGTGGCCGTTGCTACCTCCGCTCTGCTTACACCGCCCTCCCTGTTCCCTGCAGGGAATGAAGAACCAGGCTCTGTCGGTACCTCGAAGTTGTACTCAACAACGCCCTGTTCGCCCTCCTTACGCCTAACCCTGATCGACTTGGCCCCAAACATACGCAACAGATCGACGTTGTGCTTCTTGGTGTTGGTTTCCGGCACTTTTGACTTCCGCGTCAAATCCATGGTGGTATGAGGCGTAGTCAAGAACAAGAACCATCCGCTTGCCTTTGAACTCCGGGATCGCGTTGTACGCAGGGCTAAGGCGGTGTTCAAGCCACTCCATGAACATCGAGTCGGTCATTGCTGCGTGGTAATCGCCCTTTGCCAACGTAGCCTGCCACAGAAACTCTACTGTCTCCTCATCTTCCATTTCCTTCTTGCCGCTACCCGTTTCCTTGAACCAGCCCTCTTCGATCGGTAACCCATCACAAAGCTTAGCCAACGGCCCCCACTTCGTGATTGCATGCACCATGATCATGCGCAAGCCCTTCCCCGTTGTGCGACCAATCCCATCCTGCACAACTCCATCGTCGTCCGAAGGAAAGTAAGAATAGGGGGAACCATGAGCCTGGTGGACAAAACTCTCATCCACGTACACGATCACTGCTAACCCAGCATCCTCTGCCCTCTTTGCCATGACCATCTCAACAAGAAACCGACGAATGCGAGCAAGTCTTTCGGCTTTTAACGGTGGCGTTTTGATCCTGCCTCTACGACGCTTGCAGCCGAGCCTACTCAGCAGCCCTCCTGCCGAACCGTTGGACGGCTGCTCCATGTTGCAAGTCCTGTGCATCCATTCTGCCACCGTGCGGCGAAAGACTTGACGACCGGCCTTGTGCTCGTCATTGATGAACTCGCGAAGTTGATCTTCTTGTACTTCGGTGAGGCGGCGTCGCCCATCATCCTTCTTTGCCGTCTTGCCTCTCCCCACGGCGGTGGTCTCGTACAACTGGCGGTGATCCCACCAGTGGTTGTTGATGCGTCTGACCTTGTCGTGGCCGATCTTGAAAGTGCGCGCGACCTGCCAGCATAGAGAGGTCCAGAGAAGAGAAAAAATTACAACATCGTTTATGAATAAGGTCAGTTCACTTGGACATTGCACCATGAGACATCGCACATGCAAGCCTGCTCAGGTGCTGTAAAAAACTGCTGTAACAGTACAATGTATTCCTGCTGAATATTTGTGTGACGTAGACAGGTGAGTCAACCGTGTAACGAACGGCAAAGGCTCGCGCCCGACATAAATGCAACGAAAACACACACACCACACATGAACATACTGCTGTTGGCAGCAAAAATAGGGTGTACAGCACATATTCCGGAGTATAGATTCAAAAACCAACCGTTGCCCCTCTTTGATCAAGATCGATATGTAAAAAAGACATCGGCCTGCTGCTGTGCCACACCATCCGACCTTCACTGCTGTGTACTGACCTTCAACACCGCCTCCTTCTCAGAGCAACCTCCCTTGCGGAGGTCGAAGAGTAGCATGAGGACCATCCTTGACTGCAACTGGGTCCAGACCTCGCCCTTCTTCGGCTTCACCTCGTGCACAGATGTGTCCATGTAGTCCAGGCCCTGAGCAACCTTCTCCGCCGCAGCAGCAGCTGCTGCTTGGACGCGCTCAACATCCTGCTGCTCACGCATTTCCCGCGGTGCAGCGGCGCGCGCCATTTCTTGCTCCTTCTTGGCGAACGCAGCCTCCTTCGCTCTGAGCGCTTGCTCCCTCTGCGCCATCTCTGCTCTGTCCGCCGCGAGCGCTGCACGTTGCTGCTCGAGCTCAGCTTGGAGTCTCTCCTGGGCCAACGGACCTCTCGCTGCTGCTGTTTTGGCTCTCTTGTCCGACTTGGAAGGGCGTCCAACTACACCACCAGTTGGCTGCCTCCTGCCCTTCGGCTTCGCCATCGGCCGATAGCTGAGAGGCCCCTCTTTGAGCGTGCAGTACTCGACAACGGCTGCGTTGTGTCCAACGCTGGTCTGATGTGCGCGTGCGCGAAATCATAGGGTTTCCAAAAAGGTCTACATGAATGGCTAATTCGCATTCGTTCTGGTTGTATTTTCAGGCCCGCACAAAAAAGTAGTGAAAAAGTACCCTATATTCGCCGGCAACTGCTGTACCTTGTGGTTGTCTGATGAGAGCAAGACCCGGCTCATTTGAAAGCTGTGGTTTCCGTGTTGCCTTTGATGTGTGGTGGGTCTGCTAACCGTGCTGTAGATTTCGTACAAAGCCTCTGGGCAGTAGTGCTTGTTTCCAGCTGTCCGAGAATGATTTTTAACACTGCTTGAGAGAAAAAAATACTGTCGCCAGAAAAAGCAAAGTTTGCGTGCGGGGCTGTGAGTCATAAATAAAGCAGATAATCTCAAGAAACAAAGGGTCAGAGTCTTTGCCAGCGCAGAAGCAGGTGCAGAGGGCCCCAAGTCATCCGACGGCTAAGCAGCAGCTCAAGGAAACACATCCCGTCAGGGGGGTTTCCAGCAGCGCACTTCGACACAGACTACGCGAGCTTTTGGCCGGGTCTGTCTGTTGATGGCCGTGCGGTTCTTTCGGCGTTTGTTCCTGGGCAACGGAGTGCTGCAATGCCTAGTATTGTGCCTGCGGATCCTGTTCGTCCGTCTCTAATAGGCACAAGGGCCCCTCGCAAGGAGAAAATGCCGCTGTATCGTATGTGCCACGATGGAGAAGTGTCGCGTCAGGAAGATGTCGGGGTTTTTCTGCTGAAGGGTTAGCTCTTGAAACTTGTGGGAAACGGTGCTTATGGATTTGTCCGTCCCAGATGTGCTTCATCCTGCGGTTTGTCCGACGACTGCTTTTCTCAACTCTGGTGCAGGGTATATTGCAGCAAAGTTGCAGGATACGTTCCCGGATATACGTACAGGTAGGTCGTGGGGGTGATGGACGTAACCCAGCATCTAAAGGTCGCAGATGGCCGAGTGCTGCAAATGAGGAATAAACATGCCCCATATGCGTGTCGTTGAACACAACTTGGGGACCAGCCGTGCTGGACCGACAACGTGGTCATGATTGGTAGTCCCACGCTGTAAAGGTATTGGTCACAGACGTCTACGACAGGTTAGGTGAGCGCACTGTTGCAGATCCTCGGGAGCGAATCCAAGGTGTGGACTTTGCCAATCCGGGAATGCCGCCCGGCTAGGACGAGTGTGGACACGAGGAGAAGATTGATGAGATTGGCATTGGAATGATTTCCGGCGTGCTCTTCGTAACATCCACCTGCAAATGCTGAACCGCTACGAGCCACCCTCAAACCTGATGCTACGGCTGTTGAGGCGCGCTCTCTCGCTCGTACTTTCCATCTAAGACGAGAGTACAACCCATCTAAGACAACATGGTGAACTAATCATTCTATTGGCTTCGGGGTTAGTGTTTCTAAACAATCAAGCGCACCAAAAAAACGTGGATACAGGTTGGATACCGATTACTGTGCCGTCAACAAGATGGTAGAAACAGCCTGGTGTAATACCGAACTAGGAAGCCAATATGGTGCATTTGAGCCGAGCAAAATGCTTTGGGAGTCTCGACATACTTCAATTCAAGGTTATGGGCACATATATAATATTCTTTTGGCTTGCGAGGGAGAAGAACTTTTACCATCGCTTTCTGTTGACTTGCGGACCCCTCGGGTGCATTTTATTTAGTATACCTCTTTGGGTATGTTAGCCTGTGAGCAAGGGAATCGATCGCGTCAACTGTTTGACAAGTACAACGAAGGAACGGTTTTTAATGTGAAGCTTACAACAGCGACAATGGCAACACCTCCTGGGGGTTTAAATGCTTCCAAGAGAATCCCTTAGGGTGTCCTCATTGCGACAGCGTACTTCCAGTCTGGGATTACGGAGGTGTTGCAAGGTTTAGTTTAAGAGCAGTGGCCGAAATCGAGTACATCAGGGCCAACCATGGCCATCATCGGGTACCTACAAGATGCTGCTGAGAGCGACCAAACGACACCATCTTGATGAGCGTCTTTCCACCGGGTGCAACCGATCTTGGCTACTCACCCCTCCGACAAGTATAATGAAATCATTCAAAAATCACTTCGACGACGCGCACACACGTACACGGAAGAGGCAGCTATCTCATGCAAACGAACATCAATACACACCCAAACGGATTTTCAACGGCCACTCCTGTTATCGCCCGTGAATGCGGCTCAACGGCAGCAGCGCCGGTGGCACGGCCGTTGGGTCTTTGCACAACTTTCAGATATGTGTACTGAACCGCAAGAGCCAGCTCGTTCGTGGCATCGAGTATTCCGGGCTTCCCTCCCATTGTTTATATCAGGTCAAAACAAGCTCTGGCGCCGTGGACCCCAGAAGCGGACAAACTTCTTTTTTTGACGTTTAATCCAATATCTTGATCACGTGCATACACCAAATAGGGGGGGGCAGGCGCAGGGCTAACTATAGAATGTACGCCTGAAATCAGGCAGGGCCTAGGACAAGAATCCTCTCCCCGTAGCCTCGGGAGGCTGGTCGATTCACCTCCTGGGTGACGGTAAACAGAGTGTATTGTTTCACAATGTCTCTCTCCCTTTCCATCTATATATCTCTCCTCTGACAACATGCCAACCAGACAAATAGAAATCCTAATCTACCATATCTTAGGCGTGTGCAGATATCAAAAGGGCGGCGGCTTCCCACCGTGAACTACTGCTACCTACGTGCGCTGCTACCACACATCTCAAAAAATACTTTACGTATTCTATCCTTCTCGCTGCTTTTTCGTTGGCGACAATCGAGGGGCAGCGGGGTGCGTCCGACCCGTGTACACGTGGCCGAACAGTTCAGCCATTTTTGCAAAGGGGAAAGAAGAACCGGGTACGCCTCGGGAGGGGTGAGTAGCCGAGGGCGGGTGCAACTGGTGGAAAGACGGTCAAGGTCGGGTAGCAGTGGCGGCCGGCCGATCAGATGGTGTCATGCGATCGCTCCAAGCAGCGTCTTATAGGCGTACCCGATTTAACCGTGGTTAGATTGGGTGTGCTCGATTTTGGCCGCTGCTCTCAATGAAATACTCCGTAGCATGATTTGAGTGGATGACTTCATCTTCTAGGAGCACAACAAAGGGGACCTGCTCCACACCCTCGATCTGACTGACACTGGTTGAAGAGGTGGGAGTATACGTAGCTGATCACAAATGCATTTTCTTTTTTACCTCACTTATGTGGTGTGGGAAGATGTCTTCGGGTGGTGATGTCAAGCATGACCGCGTGCGGTTCAGTGGCTTGGCCAACATGCAACGCCCGGAAACGCCTTCCGAGCTGATGCAGCAACTCTTGCAAGCTGTCCTGTGCGCCTCGTTTTCTTGAATGGAAGAGGTTGTTGCGCCCTTGCGGACGATTCTCCAGTCTTGCATGGCAGGACAGCCGAATTGCGTGGCTTCCAAGAAGGCTTTGCATGCTCAAGCGTGCACATCGGCGCTATTGACAGAATGGAATCGAGCGCAGGATGGTTGCAAATCATGTGGCAACATATCATCGGCGGGAGGGTTACGTTGTGCTTATGTTCCACGATGCACGAACAAGAATTAGGGCAGTTTGATGACGCAGGCGCCGAAATCGGAGCGACAATCACGCCATAGAGGTCGAGCACATTAGCCACTACCCGCTAGGGTATTCAAATAGTACCTTTCGCGGGTCGCAGAACAACTGTACATAAATACGGCTTTGCATCGTGAGCAATTTTCGGCGATTGAAACACATTGTCTGTGGGGCTGAGTCTACGTCCGCACCCGTATATCTTCGATCGAGAGGCATGTGCTTCGTCGGTGGCGACAACTATAGCACAGCGTGTGAACCATTGGAAAGCTATCTGTATGACTACGTCACCAATCACGTTGCTAGTGTAATGCTGGGGCGATTTGTTGTCTTGATGGGCGAATATTCCGTCCGCGAGCATGCGTGTGGCGGCGACGTTTATTCATGCTCGGCAAGCCTGAAATCAGGTTTGCCTTCAAAGCCATCCGTCCTGGAGGTTCAACTTTCCAGTGCTTTGGCCGATTTGGAACACTCGTTCACGAATCCGATAGGAGTCGAGGCTAAAGACGACGTAGGAAGGGCTGTTCCCTGTCGTGATCGATTGTCGAAGTCTCTTGTGCCTTCCAGACTATTCCCGGGCGCTACAGGTGCGCCACATTATATACATTCATTCATTTATTTATTTTTCTCCCATCATTGGACTCTGTCGTCTGCACCTCTGGCCCCTATCCTCCAAATTTACTAGCTAACGACCCAAACGGGGTTACGTGGGAGGGGGGGGCTGGACCCCCTCCTGCGGTTCCTGCCTGAGATATTTTTATCGCGAGAAGGGTACAACAATCCCTTCTCTCGGGACTTACGAAGTTGATTATGGTTTATCAACAACGAGCTTTGCAGCGCGTCACTTCCCTCCTAGAAAAGGATGTATTTAGTGAGAAAAAGCTCACTGTATGTGCGCATGTGAAGAACGCCGACCATCGGGGATAGCGGCAACCATGAGTGGTTAAAACCCCGATGCTGTCGTCTTCACATGAAATAAACTTTTGTCAATGGCTGATCCCAAAATCTAGCAAAGACTCGGTCCGTGGACCCAAAAATGCTAGGGACATAAGAAGATCTAAAGAACACGCAAACTTAGAAAGAAGGGTAGACAAGCCCCAAGAGGTACACCTACAAACCCTGCAGTACTTTTGCGTGCCCATAACTGAACGAAACGTCCGCACACTACAGCTACCTATAGTAGCATCACACACACACACACACCCCTGTCCCACTTTGTACCAAAATGGACGTTTGCCGACAACAGCGTTCTGCTGTCTGGAGTGCTGTATGTACAATTACACCATGGTAGGCATGAAACAAGAAGTTGCGGCACGCAGTTGCTGCCTGAAGTGATGCAACATTGCGCCCGCGGACAGTGTGCGCGTGTGTTTTCGTCCTATTATGGCGACAATCCCCCCATCTTTCGTGGTGACAGTGAAAAAGAATATTCAGCCACAGCACATCATTGGAATTGACACTACCACAATCTATACCGATCGTCTGAGGCTCAGCAGCCTAAACATCGTCACTGACTACGAATCGTTTCACATTGCAGGGGTCTTCCACGATGCAGGTACAAAATCAAGGCACCCGGGGTATCCGCGCCATCTCTGTCGCGTCTCTCCACAAAACCAGTGACGTCATCACAATCACCCAATACTGATATTTAGGCCCTAACCTGTCATGCATGCTTATATTTGTGCATAACTGGGCTTTTCGTGCATAAGCAAAAGCATAAGTTGGAGCGCGCATATATATTTATATTCATGTATAAACGTGTGCATAACAGGGGTTACCGTGCATAGCGGTGATCATGCACGAGTGAGATGGGGTTAAGGGGTGGCTCAGACACTCAGACAGCTCATTTGTGACCAAAGCAGAGCTTTTTTATCCCCTTCAAACCCTCTTGGTCTTTTACCTCTCTTTAGTTTCAAGTTCACAGATCAGACAACAAATTGTACATCTGGAGATCGGAGATCAGGTGTTAATTAAAAACATTCGTTGTTTAAACCAACCTTGAATACTGTTGATTTAAACCACTTGACTTTTGTACAAGAAGAGAGGAGAAAAAAGACGCAAAGACCAACGACCGAAGACGAAGACCACAGGAACACAGGACACACCGGACATCACTGATTCAGCCATCCTCTGCCTTCACGGAGCGAGTATTTTCTATTCTGCGTGCGTGTATGGACCAGAGGCAGGAGTCGAGCTTCAGCGATCGCATTGCCGCAGCTGCCCTTCTCAAGTACATAGTAGTACGGGAGTACGCGAATCGCTGTTTTGCCCGTGGTGTGTGTTTGTGGTGTCTTGGATATGAGTCCGATATATCGCATTCGAGGTGCTTTCTTATTTGTTGCTGATATTTTTCTGTTTCGTTTGGTACTGCATTTTCAGGTGAATTCTACGGAAGTCACGCGTGCCTGTGCGTATTTTTGTTCCTGTTGGAATTCAATGTGTGGCATGGCTTTGGCTTGAATTTTTTTCTTGACGTTTGTTCGGTTTGTTGCAGAAAACAGGGCAACCCTGCTGATTGGTTCAGTAGCCATTACGTGGTATGCCAGCGGTGTTCCATTTTACAGCAATAGCCTAGTAGCCCGCACTGCCATGGCTGTTGATTGTTTTAATTGAAATTAATTGCTATTTTTCCTTGCATTGACAATTATGGGGGGGGGGGGTGAAATGTGTCCATGATTCTAGAGGCACTGACAGCAATTGGTTTGGTGTTCTGATGGGTTTGACACTGCCACGGCAGGGGCTGTTGGAGGCGCATTTATATTGCTTGAAGTATTTTACCGCGATTGATTCCAGAAATAATTATATCTACTGTCTGCCGAATGGCGATCACGGATGACCAAGGGTGAAGGGAATGCGGGAAAGTAGTCCCCTCTTCACCCTTATTAGAACGAACGAGTGCAGAGTAATAGTGGTCGGATGCGTCGAAAACACATTTCCTGAAACACTAGTCCAAGATATTTTGCACTGTGTGATACAGCAACACAAATATTCATACATTTCGACGGTGGCAGACGGCATAATAAACAAAGCGTGTCGGCAAAGCTAACCGCGCACGCATATGTCGAGCATTAACGACCAAAACAAGCATTGTCCGAGCACGAGGGACGAAGAAAAGCGTGCAGAAGTACGAGCACACGCGAGNATAGTGGTCGGATGCGTCGAAAACACATTTCCTGAAACACTAGTCCAAGATATTTTGCACTGTGTGATACAGCAACACAAATATTCATACATTTCGACGGTGGCAGACGGCATAATAAACAAAGCGTGTCGGCAAAGCTAACCGCGCACGCATATGTCGAGCATTAACGACCAAAACAAGCATTGTCCGAGCACGAGGGACGAAGAAAAGCGTGCAGAAGTACGAGCACACGCGAGGAAAATGAGCATAACCAGCGTGCAGAAGTCGCCATTTGAGCTTGCGCACGTGCCGAAAAACGTTCATAATAATGTCAAGAAATAAGCGTAACAGGTCCGGGCCTACCGATATTCAGGGAAAAAACGATCATATTTGACCACACGTGGTGTTTGTCCGTGCGCCACGGTTTAATGTCGCCCGTATGCTGTGATGGCTTGCTCCGGTGCCGCTGTGGCCATCAGTCCTAGCACGACCACACACGACCCGCTCCGTCCGTACACGCTCTCGTTGCTGTCCTTCCCAGTCGGTCCCTCCCTTTCTCCCTCGTTGGACTTTGGGTTTTTGGTCTGAAAAACTCTCCCACAAATGGATCAACCAGCCCAATCTTCAGCTCGTCACCACCTGCTCCCTGCTCCTTTGATGGCAAAGTCAGGATACTGAGACAGTACAGCTCCCTCTAGCAGACCAAGGGCCGTAACACAGTACCAGTTCACGTTTCTGATGGCGTCTGCCTCCGCGCACAAAAATGAGGTGGACATCGCTGCCTACACCGACGGACATAAAGGCCCGTGCATCTATGTGCACTTTTGTACCTGGCCCACCAGTGCCGACCAAGTCCACCATTACGCACGCCGCGCGGCGGGTGCGCAGCAGCGAAAAGGATCGATCCCTGGAGGGTGAGCCTAGCCTTGCTCGCTAGCACCCCCCCCCCCTCTGCTACGGGCCATGCATGAGCAGAAGCCTTCCCAAGGCAGCAAAGGGAAGAAGAGCGAAGCATCCTTACAGGTTGATTAAAAATCGCGTTGTTCATTGATAATTACTGGATCATTCTAAATTGAAACTCCGCACGCCACACACGTATGGATCTCATGTGTGTGTAGTATGCATGTGTTCGCCGCGATGCCAACGCCGGTCCCAACACTATGCTCGGCGGCCTGCATGGTCTGCGTTGTTCTGCACCTGACCTCTGCTGATACCGCCACGACATGGTTCAACTCCTTCTGGGGCATTCGGGCGTTCAGCCAAGGCCTGAATTGGGGACGGGGCGAAATGAGACAGCAGTCCACAACGTCTCTGCGCGTATGATAGAACTGAACAGAAAGATAAAAGAAGGTGCAACTTTCACACAGTCAGATATTCGGCCGGAAAAATGACTTGAACCTGCATTCAGTCCGACAGGGGCCTTCCTCCGACCGTAGTTTCTGTCCCGACGACAAATCGTCCGTTGTTTTGTTCACATTTCTACAAAGTACTGTGTGACCTGCTCTCAGTCTCTTTTCTGACGTTTTCATGCGGCCGATCACCTACTGCTATTCGTGTATTCCCCGGTCGCCCCGGTGGTCTAGTTGGTAACCTCGAAACCTTCTAAAGGTCAGGTCAGGGGTTCGAATCCCGGCGTCAGCGAGCTTTTCTTGTAAAATGAGTTTCTTTCGCTTCCGCTCCTGGCCTAGTGGATAGCGCTAGTTCGTGTGTACACAGAGGAAAGAGAGTGCTGAACTCTTCGAAGGCAAAGTACCGCAGGAGGGAAGGGCAGAGAGGGGCTCGTTTGTGTGACCACGGGTTGGAGTAAACGGTACCAGTGCCGTGAGCGCTGATTTAAAGTGAAGACAAAAAAAAAAAAAAAGTCTCCAGAAACCAGCAGCTGTCACCGCTTTTTGGTTGCCTGTTAACATCAAGCAGTAGTGACGTCTCGCAGCAGACTATTCAAACCGCCCTCTCTCTCGTGCGTTGCATCAACTTTATTGAAACACATCACCATGATGCTTCGGTCACCGCCTTGCTGTATGCACGCTGGAAACGCTACTGCTGTGTGCTCGTCCCTGTTCGTACCCCCCGCATGTACACGCTCACTCCACAGCCGTTCTGACAGTCGCGCCGACGCTCAGCTGTTAGCATGTGCTGGCATATTGGGTTCAACAGCAGAGCAAGCTGTACCGCCTACGTTTTTGGTTGAAGCTGACGTCTTCTGGTGGGCTGTTCGACACAACAGGCCACGACTGGCCCGACAGCCGGAGAGAATCAGAGTGCAGTCATATTTTTCCTTAATTCTTACAGCCCAAAACAAACTCCCGTGAGCCCAAAGCATCTAATTTTACAAATGATCCCTCCGGGGGGATCATTAAAGCACAGTGCCATCAAGGGGTGATGCAAAGATGAAAAAGAAAGCAAGCAGCAGGACCAATCCGCAAGTGACTGCCAACCGCCAGCTGTGATGACGTTTACCCCCACTCAAAAGCCCACGCAGCTGACGTGTTTTTGACCCGAACAGCCCCAGCGAACGTCAACGAACCGCGCTGCCCACAAATGGGAGCGATAGCCATACCTCCTGCCGATACATGGACGAGAGAGGTGAACATACCCATTGCATTTAACACACACCCACACGTCGGTGATGAAACCTCATCAACCACACGCCTCTATCGGTGACCACGTCATCAGGAGGCAATGATGAGAAAATGTTTTCCCGTGCCCTTCGCACATTTAAAATGAAATTACACAACGTATATGAGACATACAAGACAGCTACCAAACTGATTTTCTGAGCCTGTCACCCGCAGGGGAGTTGTCCCTATAGGCTGTCTAGGAAATCGTAGACATACAGGTAGTTTTCTCTGACGCCATAATTCCATTGTTAATCTGTCTCTGACTCTTTTCTATGATAGAGATGGACTCGTTGTGTCATGTTGTGCCACATTTTTTTTTTACATAAACGGTGACACCACTCCCGTGTGCCCGCACATCAGCCGCACATACTCCGCACATATGCATACCAAATTGAAAATACGTATGTAAACTGATGGAGACTGTATGCCCTACAACTAACAGGGTGCCACACACAAAACGCCCGACTAACCAACAGTACCCAACACCTCTCGTCTGCACCTTCCCAACAAAACAAATATATGAGACACACAAGACAGCTACCAAACTGATTTGTTAAAAATACAGATATATTACGACTTAGCAGACCACGCGCTGGCTCGAGGGGGGGGTCCGAGGGGGAGTTTACCCCCCCCCGGCACTCGTATGGTGACCCAGCAGACAACGCGTGCGGTGGACCANTTGAAAATACGTATGTAAACTGATGGAGACTGTATGCCCTACAACTAACAGGGTGCCACACACAAAACGCCCGACTAACCAACAGTACCCAACACCTCTCGTCTGCACCTTCCCAACAAAACAAATATATGAGACACACAAGACAGCTACCAAACTGATTTGTTAAAAATACAGATATATTACGACTTAGCAGACCACGCGCTGGCTCGAGGGGGGGGTCCGAGGGGGAGTTTACCCCCCCCCGGCACTCGTATGGAGACCCAGCAGAGAACGCGTGCGGTGGACCAAGCATACCACCCGTGTGGTGAACCCAGCAAACCACGCGCTGGCTCGAGGGGGGGGTCCGAGGGGGAGTTTACCCCCCCCCGGCACTCGTATGGAGACCCAGCAGAGAACGCGTGCGGTGGACCAAGCATACCACCCGTGTGGTGAACCCAGCAAA